ATCAATATTTTATTTTTTATAATTTTGTTATCGTTTGTTTTATAATTTTGTTTCGTTGTTGCAATCGCTGTCTATGCGAACTCTTTCTCTCGACGCCTTGTTGCTTGGACGATATCACTGTCGCTGCTATCAAAACGATAGACCAACTGTAGAAGAAAACCTTCTACAGTTAGTCTTTCTAACGTATCTGTATAAACGTCTATCCGGAGCTCGTCTTCGCTACTACTTGTGTCACGAGACTCATTCGTGTTCGAACGTTTTGCCATTGTTCTAATAAAAAATACGAATAAATACATAGGTTGAAAATTTCTAATCGTTATTACTAACTCGCAAGATGATATTTACCAAAAAAACTTTTACCAAACGATTTATTTACCAAGAGAAGAATCACTTTTCCGATTTTCTCACTCGTTAGATCTATCTATACCGCTCGACGCTTCGAACCAGACCGAGTTCGGCTTTGAAAATCTTTTCCTCCAGATTTTATGATTATAAATCTCGCTATACAGTGCGTGTTATGTTCGCATACCGATCTTTCTTCTACAAACTTGCCTTATCGCTCTTTTCAAATGGCGCCTTCGAAGTGCTCGGACCGTCGGGAGCACGCCTCTCGCGTTCTCGTCAAAACCCGCTGACATTTTTTGCATATATCTTAGTAATTTTACTATATTTTGATTTGTTTTCTTGTGCCATTTCGAGAGAAAACTTCAGGGAAACATGCATGTCTGAAAAAGTTGCGCTGAAATAACTCAATTCCCCGTAATCGCTAATAAACTTGAATGACCCACGAGAGGGGACATCCGAGCGATATGCTAGAATTACGATGTCCCACGAGAGGGAACAACGGAGTGCAAAGGGTTAAAGGGACGGGATGGAGAGGGGTGGAAGCGACCCAGAGGGGAACGTGTCGCGACTCACGATCCACGCGACGAAATTAACCCTCGGCACCGCGGTGTCTGGGTTCGTTTTGACCCGGCGCTTCGCGTACACAACATTTGGCACGGTTCCCCCTTTTCATCGCATTCGACGCGAAAAGAAGGTCCGCAGTACGGGAGCCTGTTTTTCTTTCCTTTTTTCGGTCGAACGATCAGCTGTCGCGAATCGCGAGCAAGAAGTCGATCCTCGAAATACCGAACGCGAACCACGCGCCCCGGAGAAACCGTGACCGTACTCACGATTCTCGTGTCTCGGGAACATCCCTTAAGTATTTTCGCACCTGTTGCCGAACGGCTTGCCGAAACCACCTCCTCGGTTACGTAAACAATCGAAACGACAAGTTATTATCCGTATCGTTTGGTCGAGCGCGAAATCCTTGTAAACCAGGGGTGTCAAACTCGCGGCCCGAGATGAACATTTTTGCGGCCCAGTCAATATATCCGACGCGAGGTAAAAATACAATAGAAATAGCCTCGGCCAATAAAATTTCTCCCGAAATAGGAAAGATAGTATCAGAGAAGAGATGTCAAGTATCAGGACGTAAACAATAATTTACTTTTATACATGTGTTTATTACAATGTACTAGTCAAAATAAAAATATTTCTTTCTATAAACATTGATTTTCTTTTTTTGCGGCCCACCTAAAGTTAAGCATTGTTTATTTGACCCAAGTTAGCTTTCGAGTTTGACACCCCCGCTGTAAACGAAAGCGGAGCGGAGATCGACGCGTAAACCAGAAAACTGACCAACGACACGCAACCTTCCAGAGACTCGTACCGTCGAAATTCGAACGAACGAAGAATACTTTCGCCGATCGCTGCGAACGATTTTATCCCATCCCTCGTGTTTCTATGCATTTATAACGCGAAACGATGCGGTGAAACTGAACAAACAGCGAAGAGATTGAAAAAAGCTAAGAACGTTGGTTTACTAATTCCGACACGATAACGCTATTAGAGAAAGAATGAGGACTATGGGAACTATAGTTACTATAGTCCTATATATACTATATATTATACTATAGGAAGTATAGTCCTATATATACTATATACTATAGGAACTATTATAGTCCTATGTATACTATATATACTATAGTCCTATATATACTATATACTATAGGAACTATAGTCCTATATATACTATATCTACTATACCTCCTATATATACTATATACTATA